CATTATATTCCACTAGTATGAGGGCATATTGGTTCAAATCAAACCAACAATACAAAGGTCTCATTTGTGACTTGTTCTGATAATTCATGGCCTCTGCATGAATGCCAATTGCGGATCAGAATTTAGGTTAGTGTCTAATTTTTATTGGCTATGGGGATGTTTAGATACTTTATTGATCCTGAGGGAAATTAAGGATTCCAAGGGTTTATACTAGCACAATGTTTGGCAGACACATGAGACTGTCCTCGTCCTAAACACCTTTATCCTTGTAAAATTGAAACTTAAAACACAACGTCATGTGTAAGCTTGCAGCCAAACAGTGATGACAGGCGTTGGACACTCCTAATTCTACTGAGGACTCTGTGAGTAAGACATCGAGCTTCTGGTATGCTACACAACTGCACCATCTATAGAGAAAGAGATGACCTTATGGAGGAGTGTGTGGGATGTAGAATATGCAAACATCAATTGCCTTGTGTAAACCACCTTGAATTATGAAATGTGTATTAAAACATACATATTATATGAAGATATTCTACATTTATTGAGTGAAGAGTCACTGCTATAAAAATAAAAAAGGCCATGTTTTATGAATTATCTTTTGCTATATGATCATTCAAAAATACATAGCAATTATGTAAATGATGAAATGTTTGTTTTTCATTCAGGCATGTGAATTATGATAAAAAGGAAAAATGGCTATCACAGAAACGAGACTAATCACTGGGCGTACATGACAAGAGAGGTTTTTAAATCACCACAGATCTTAAGTAATTAACTCATCGCTATCATTAAGCCATGATCACTGAAACGAAACATACTGTATGAAAGCTCATTGTAAATGCTTGGTTAAATCATATACTCATAATTTATCTCTCCTAATAAAGACAGATAAGAAATCTTAAACACAAAGGGAGAGAGAGGCTGGGGAGAGGTTTGGAAATCACGAGCGGATCTCGCACATCTATTTATTCTCTCTATTGATGGAGGATTAATTCTGTGCGTCACAGATTAGACCTCCAGCTGCATGTCACTAACACGCAGTTCGTCTCTGAATACAATCCACATCATCAAATGTCAGGTATACCTGATAGCTCTGATCCTCAAAGCTACAAACGCGGTGACATTATGCCTGAGTCGAGAGAGGCGAAAAAGATCTGAGACAACAGGGCAGGACGGGCTTTTTTATTGAGTGGCTGAGAAGGGACATCAGTGGGATGTGAAGTGACGATAAAATATTCTGTCACAGGTCATGCATCGATTTCTAATGAGACAGAAGAAAAACACATTGTTGACTGTAGCAAGCACCTTCCTCTCCATTATATAAGTCCTTTACTGCCCCCATCAAGTAAAAGGTTTATTACAATTAATTCATAATTAGGATTATCTAGATTGTATTCTTAATTTATATTCCTATACCTACTCATTTAATTATTGTTTGTGTAGTATCATTAAAATATGTATAATTGAATGTGTTGGAAGTGTACTTAAGAACAGAAAGATTTATCTTAACTTTCAAAGAAACTCGATTGCTTTGAAACTTGGTGCGAGTCTTGTGTATGGTGGTTCTCTGCCAGTTTCATCATTACAGGTTGCTGAGGAGTTAGGATCTGTAAAGTAGTGTTTTGTGCCGTTGCATCATTGTGGAGCTGAACCAAGCTGTCTTTGCCCTGCTGTCACTCTCTTTCTGTCTCTTTCACAAACACATTGACAACAGACTCATCTGTCATAGTCGCACTGGGCATCAGGAGCAACAGGAGGAACCTTTCCGCATCGGTGGGCCAGTGGACCGTCAAAAAACCCATAAAGTTTTTATTGTCCTCAGCAGACAGCCAGAACTCTATATTTCTGCTTTAGCTGTCGGGTTTAGTTATGCCAAGTGGAGGTCACTTAGTGTGACCTCGCCAAGACAACAACATAAACACTGTTGGATCAATAAACACAAATACAACTGTCACACACTTCGAACAAGAGACCACAATATTCGATTAACATGCAGTACTAGTTCAATAAATAAAGACAAACAAAATAAATTAGGTACAATTTTCTAAAAATTTAGAAGTGATGACTTTGAACAAGAATATTCTTCAAAATATCCTTGTGGTTATCAGCTCTTCTGACAGTTTTAGGTCTTCTGTTCATTAATCCAGGAAGTAGGTGGCAGCACTATTATTTATTTAGCCTGATTCACTTCTAACAGATCAACAGATGAAGATTATTGAGAGCACAGACCGTATTGATTTTGTTTTTTGTACAGAAAATAAGTAACTATAGCTCAAGCAGAGATTTAAATAGAATTCTATGCACATAAAGAGATGGGCACTGCACAAAGAGTTGCAGTGTTGTAAAAGATTTCTATAGCCAGTAGTAAAATATGAAGCACAATGGTACAGTATCCAAAGTCTTTGCACAGGTCAGGTGTATTCGTAAAGAAATGATCACTGTAATTCAATAAAGGTAAAAACGTTGCCACAGTCGAGTGTTTCATCAGCTTAGAAAGGTTTTTATTTTGAGAATTCAAAGACGATTTCTCAGGAATATATTTATCTGAAAACATGTTCTGACCATTTCAGTTGAAATCTTGGCAAGAGAAAATGTTCCCTCTTTGCCCTTTGAAAATAGCAGGAATTTGGATTCGTCTGAATTTAGCACCTGAAGAATGGGACTGAAAGTCAAAGGCTGACTGCAGGAATTCTATGATTTGTAGGGGGAGGAACAATAGATCACTGCAGATAACTGCATTTTCTGCATAAAAATATAACTTATATATAAAAGGTGATTATATTAAAATAACATATATGCAGACGGAAGCAATTAATTTAGAATTAATTTAGAATTTAGAGAGATGGCTTACAATAATCAATTTTTGCCAACCTGAGCTGAAGGGTCCCTATCCTGCGATGGCCTTTTGCTTTAAGAAATGCTAACTGCTGTCTCAGGCCCCCATACATCTGTGAGAGGTGGATGGTAGGAGGACAAATTTCATGTACACATACACGGACACACAAAATCAAACGCACATTTCCACCCAACAGCAAATCTGGCAAACAGGCACATAAAGCCTGTCGCCCCCCAAACACACGCACACCAGTGCTTTCCAGATGGATGGCAGGTTTGATAATGGCTGAAATGAAGAAGTGGATCACTAGAGTCAGTCCTCTTTTCTACAGCTATGACTTAAAACTCCTCAGAGAAGTGAATCATATTGAAGTCTGGACATGAACAATCAACCTGGGACAAGGGGAGAGTAGCACACAGAGGCCACACTCACCACAATAGGTCTTGTTTTCCTTCAAACTCTACAGCTGGAGCCAAACTGTCTTTTTTTTCCAAGAATGAAATTGTTTCATATTTTGCATTGAAGTTTCTTCCTTCAAACACACACTCTTTGAATAAACCAGGTCTGATGTTGAAAAGCAATTTGTTTCAATGAACATTTACGAAAATTGAATGGAAAAATACACTTTTGGTTTCACATTTAATCGTTCCGTTTTTTTAAAAATCTAACAAGGCCATGCTTTGAGGGAATGTAGAACAGCTATATTGCCTGCAGTGATGTTATATCATAACTTATCGAGTTTAAATGAGTGGAAAATAAAATGCAATAGCGTCATGACTGATCACTACTGTGTCACTGAATGTTTAATGAAGTCTGCTTCTATTAACACTGTAATCACAATTATAAAAAAGAGGTCTACATTTCACCTGCAGCAGTGCTGGTGCATAATTACCACATCAATGAGCTTTGTTAACCGTGTTTCCAATGTTTCCAGAGAGCAGATATGAGAAAACAACAGCCATGTTTGTACGCTGGTTGTTGAGTGGATTTAAAGTGTGTACTGTGCTATCATACATCACCATCTGCCTGCAGCAAACTATAGGCTGCTCACATTCTGCAACACACGCGAACACATTGTCAAAAGTGACGGCTGAAACCCCAGCCTTCTCTTTTCAATTGGTGTAATTAACACTGAAACTAATCTGATTTCAGGGCTTCTGGTGAAAACCTCTAATCAAACACGTTGTGTCTGTTACTTCCTCTCGCTAATAGGGAACAAGGCAGACCTATTAAAGCTCAAGTCTTTGTTCCCTAATGACTCGGATGTGTGGCTGTCCCTCTCGTAAGGTTTCGAGTCTGCGGTCAGGTTTTTTCGTCCGTGCCTGCTGGTGCTCATTTAAAAACCCTCCAGGAACATTTAAACTTTGGCTTCAAAGTCTGAAGAGAACGACTTACAGCAGCGACGGCACTGAGGGAAAGACAGATTAACAATCAGAGATGAGGATGAAGAGAGAGATCAGAGGAGAGAAAAGCCCACTGTTAAAGGCTAACCTCTGTGATTTCGGCACCACGTGGTAGCGACAGACCACCCAGAGACATAAGTGAACTTAAATTGATGGGAGGTCACTGCATCAAGTCAGGCGTTAACCATAAAAAAAACATGCTTCTCCCTCAGAAGCAGGGAGCAATATAGACGCATTAAGAGATCTCTGGTCGTGTTTACCGTGGTGTGGTGCCACCCGGCCGGTCTCCTCTCTAATATGGATTCTTCCACTTGACAACATAAACAACTTGTCAATTAGTGTCCTGTTTGTATAAAAATTGTGTTCAGCAGGGGTGTGGCTAAGTGACTGTGTGGTGCATTAACTCGGGAAAGAAGAAAAAACAGAGATGATGGATAAAGAGCATGCACTTGGGCTCCTACAACTGAACTTTGTGCTGATGCTCTGATCCAGTGATATGGTCGAGGAGAAGGGACCAAAAGTACGGGAGCCGATTAAGATTGTGCTCCTTTAACTTTTTGCAGGATGGAGAGAAGAAAAGTTTGAGGAGGCAAAATCTAACCAACAACAGACACGTATAAGGAAGGAAAGACTTGAGGCGGGAGGCCAGTAACTAGCCTGCAGAGACGCAGAAAGCCAGTTGGAGTGAGATAACAGAAACGACCAGAGGCTGAGATAGCTGAAAAGAGAACCATCTGTCTCTACCACACTGTACTCACCGTCGGTGGAGCAGCCCGTGGATCCATCACTGGAGCAGTAACGCATCTCGATCCTCTGTCTGCCCACTTCTAGGAGGCTGGGGTCCGGGATGCGAGCTTTGCAAGTGTAGCGGAAGCGCTGCTCGTAGTGCCCGCCATTGTCTGAGATGTTGACGGGCGTCCAGGGAGTCCACGGCGTGGTCTTCTTCAGGTCGGGACATGGCAGGGTGTTGCACGACTGGTACTCCTGCAGCCAAAGAGACAGACACATTTTGGGGCATTATTATGGAGCTTCTTTTCTATTTCACTGCAAGCACATTTGTCTGGAGGTGAATTTGTGTGAATTGGCGTGGGAAGAGATAATAATAATAATAATAATAATAACTGTATTTGTATAGCACATCTAAACAAAGTTACAAAGTGCTTCACATAAAAAATCCATGGCAAGAAGAAGAATAAATTACAATAAGGGGTATTCAATTCAGTTACATTTATTTTGGGCCACGGAGCAGTTTACCATCACATTTGAGCTCTGTAAGACTGGTTGTTGTAATGAAAATGATATCTTCAATCGTACCTTGGTGTCATCAAGTGCTTCAGCCAGTGATCACAAATCATTAAAGCAATAATTAAGCATGACAAGCTAAGACAGAAATGTCTGGTGTATATCCCAGGCATAACAATGGATGAGACAATGGCTTTTTGAAATTCACAGCAGTGAAAAATGAAATGAAAATGGATATTTTATGAGGAAATAAAAAGCCTTTTCAAAGCTTTCATCCTTGAAAAGCCTCTTGTTTCCAGTTCAGACTGGTTTTCTGTATGTTGCTGGGTCCAGTACCACTCACCCTCAAAAAAAATCAACACAGGCACGTTCAGCTGTTCCCAACACAGCCTGCCACTCTGCCAGCACGCACCCACTAAAGATACAGACCCATTAGGCTACTTGCTGAACATTGCGAGAGGCAAACAAGCCAGGCAGGAAAGGTCATTGGTCAAGTTTAATTTATTACCAAGGGGGAAGGATGGAGGAGGAGAGAGAGGGTGAGGAAAAGTTAATAAAGAGACATGAGGAAGTGGAGGGGAAAGAAAAAGAAGGCAATAATGGCAACTCTCTTTCCCATCTGCATTTGGCTTTGGGTGCTGGGTAATAAAAATGAAAACATGGCACTGAAGCTCAAACAATATATATGATTCTCATGCCGTATATATTTTCCCTGAGCCAATTTATGCAACAGGCCAAGGAAATATATTCCTCCTTTTCTCTGGTGCGATATTTGATGATATGATTCACAGAGATAAAAGCTGGGTAATAGGCAGTCCAGACCCCTTTTATGCCCAGCTAAATAAATAAGGAGGAGGGGATATGTCTGGAGAAAATGACACCACAGAGGAGAAGGTGAGATGACTGTCATTTTCCTCACTGCTTGTTTATTTATGCTGAATAGGCCTTGAGTGACTGCCAGACCTTGACAAAATAAGATAAGAGTTCCTTTCTGCACATCCGTCAGCCCCTCACATGGGACGGGTCAGCTGAGGAGAGTTTTATACATCATACAGTATGCAGCTCTTCTTTTCACCATCTTCCTTCCTCTTGTATGTTCTCTCTTTCCATTCATCTTTTTATCTTTTCCTTTATATTTCGCTCACCCTCTTCTCCCCACAGTGTTTATAACTCGCTTTGCTTCAGCTCGTCTTTCTCCCTCTCCTTGTTTCTTTTTCTCCGTGTGTCGCTGTTTCATCTCTTGCTCTGTCTCTCCCTATACGCCTCCCTTTCTATCTCCTCCTCTCTCCTTTGCTCTACCCAGGGGTATCAAGGTTAAAAACACAGAAAGGATTTAGATTCTGTTAGGGCCCCTGTGATGAATGACAGTGTCACTGCCACCGCACTTCCTGCCTCTCTCCATCCAGCTCTGTAATCGTCTCCAGACATTAATATTTAACATGATCACGCACCGCAGACCGTCCCACAATCCACAATTATCAGCCAATAACCAAAAGGAAGGAGGAAAAAAAAAAAGGTCAGCCTCGGTGTCTCACCGTTGCCTTCAGCGACAGAAAAACGAAAGCATGAATGGAGGGGAAAAAGGCAAACGATCTGGGGGTGTTTGTTGTGTGAGTTGTTGATGGTGGCCAAACACAATAAATATTTAATGAGGCTTGTCTAGTAAGCATTTTTCCCTGTGCTCTCAGAGGATTAGTGTCGATGCAGAGGGTTAAGGAGATAATTACTGGGTTTAAAGCTAAACCTCATTCAAGGTCTCCAATGGCATCCACATCAAATACAGCTAAAGTATATGCAGCACCGTGGTCAATGTGTGAGTGCAATGAAAATGTCCCCCTGATATAATATATTTAATCCAATATTCTGATAGTTGAAATTTACAGACTGCAGTTTATTCATTGAACCAGTGCAGGTTAAAACAAATGGAGGGGTTACAGACGGGGTCTCGACAACCACTCGTCCAAAAAGTTGAAACTGCAGTTTCTTTGGTTCTCTTTAAGTTTGAGATCAATCAGCTGAGAAGTTGAACATCAAAAAAGCCAGAGCAGAGACAGAATAACAGACTGAGATTTCAGATTTTTAGTGTAGGATAGAAAAAGAGACAATAATGAAAATCTTTGGAAAACCTGAAGAACAGACATTTATTTATGGCTTCCATATCTCGAGAACGGTTTATCTTATCGGCTTCACACATGGCACGTGTATTGATAAGGCCCCGATGGTCAAGTGTTGAATATTGTGTGATTAAGACAGTCAGTATGTTAAATGTTGATCAACTTTGAATAAACAGGTGCATATAGCAGCAGTGGTTGGGACTCATCAACGTAAGCAGCGTTGTTGATAAGATAACAGCGTTCACAACTACAACAAGTGATTCTCCATTTCAAGGTTCTGCCTACTGAGTCGAGATTCACTGAACTTTGAATGAACAGGTGAACCGCTCTTTGTGCAGCAGCATTGGTGCAGCTTCATGGTTCTAAAGACTGAGTCTAATATTACTGCAGGTGACTTACAGTTTCAGAAACCAGCCTAATCACAGACCAAGCAGCCCATTCAGACAGAGCTAGGTACTGCACAAGTGTTTTAAAGCAGTGAAAATGAGGATGTCACACTATCTCCTCTTTTACTCTACTCCATTAGATTTTTATTTTGTCTTTCACAAAAGCAACTAAGACTTCTCTATCCTGATTGGCTGACAGGTGTATGACTCCAAAAAAGAGAGTTGTTTGCACTTGCACTGAGAATTTGAGTTTGCTAAAAATGAAAAATCTAAAAGGCTGCTTAGTGTGAACCATACAGATTCCATTTCTGATGTGTTTCATATTTCCAGAAATGTTTAAATCAAGTCCTGGAAGGAGAAGAAAAAGGTGACCAGAGGGGGGAAAAGAAATGTGTCCAGAACTGAACACAGACGACCTTAAACAAAGCAGAACTAACTCTCATGTCCTTCATTATGATCATTAAACACACAATTGATGGATCATTATCCCTTAATGAATCATTTGTGTGGACAGGAATAGACTCATGACCGTGTGTTGGTGCTTATGTGAAAGATTTATGGGACTTTTATTTTGAAAATTAAATACAACTAAACTAAATTAAAATTAAATAGAGAAACAATAATAGTACTACAACCAGCTGCTATGCAAATAAACTGGAGACCGTGAATCTTAACTATATCACATACACTAACTATGTTGAATGATGGTGGACAGTTTATTGTCTTTTACTGCAATAAAAAGAGCCTTTTTATGGCACATGAATATGTTTTTCAAAATAATAAAAACGGTCTCTTCTGCCTGAAGGGTGCCAATTTTTATAACGTGTTTTAAATAATGCATTCAATGTAGATGTGAAATAGTCCAGCTCTTCTCTTGGAAATCCATAAACTCAACATACACATACTCCTACAAGCAAATGTAATAATTCCATTCAAATGACATTCAGCGAGCCAGAGCAGAGAAGAGGTCATGTGAGGCGTACAGTGCACGCTGGCCATGCAAATGTGGCTGTTGAGCCAAGTTTGAATTTAACTTTGATTCACTGTTCGAAAACATTTAAGCAGAAGAAGCTGAGCGTGATGATTTAAATGTTTCATCTCGTTCTTTCCAGTTGACGTGGCCAGCTAATAAAACTGCACAAACAAAAACAACACGGAAACATTTCTCTTCACTCGGCCACACTCACATTTCACTCAATTTCAGGGAAATTAAGCAAAAGTGAAAACCAGGCAAAAAGCAGTCGGATGTGACAAGTGGCATGTGGAAAACAATACTGCATTCAATTAGTCCACTGATGTCGATTCATATACGTGCCCCCCCCCCCTTCAGGCTACAACAGTGAGATCCATTATGGGCAAATGGAGAGCAGTGATTTTATGCTGTGCAACACCTTTAACAGGCAGCTGCTCTCAGACTGGCACAGTGATGTGTTTCTGGCTGGAGCTCAGGAGAGCTTGGTTGGAGGACGACTGATAGCATCTTTACTGTGGCACAGAAACAAGCTGCCTGGTGGGTCAGTGAGGACGTGGTGGTCAGTCTGTTCGCATTGGGTGTATATATGCAATAATATGTGCAGGAGTATACATTTTGCTTTAAAACTGGCACTTTGGCACTGATCTGTGTGTGTGTGAGTGTGAGGAGTGAAGCCCTTGCATGTTTATAAGTTTATGCATGGCTGAGTTATGGATTCGGGCTGTTCCTATCTCATTCTTCCACAGACCTTTCTGCAGATTTTTTTTAGGTGTTATATGCTGAGGGGATACAGAAGGAGGAAGAGGAGAGAGAGAGAGAGAGGCAGAGAGAGAGCGTGTTGGGGGAAATGTAGACTTTCCTCCCTTCTTATTTTTTATTTGGAGAATGTAGGAATGTGGAGTGGAGGGTGATAAACATGTATCTCATTGTACATCTGTGTGTGTGTGTGTGTGTGTGTACCAAAGACTGTCTATTGTATCTGACCAGCTGTGGGTGGTGAATAATAAGGAGTCATGCCTCTCGAGCCTCAAACCATCATTATACTTCTTACTGGAGCGGACGACTGTGTGTGTGTGTGTGTGTGTGTGGGTTCCAGGTATTACTGATGTTGGGACTTGCTTTCCTTATGTGTTGGTGTATATACAGACGACTATACACACCACTACCCTGACATTGAAGTGAATGGTCCTGATGTGAGAGTGACTAATCCTCTCTAGCTCCTACATCTTTATCTATTGTGGTTGGAGGCCGTGGAAATCAACGCTTAATGTTCCTCAAGTCTCCATGACACATCAGTTCAATTAGCATTGCAGACCAAAACACACTAAGTCAAACACTGAATCCCCTCTCCGTCTCCCCACCAGTGTGACTCCATAATGAAGCCCGCTGTCGGCAGGGAGCAGGTCTCCTGGCTGCACACCAGTGCCTGCATGCAGGCACACACACACAATACGTTAAACTGAGTAACACAAGAACACACAAGTACTTTCACACGTCAGTCTGCCTACACAAGCACTGGCTATTTAACTTTCCTTTCACAGCCCGGCCGCACGTCTGAACTCCTGGCAGGTAAATAGAACAGCTCTCGATATCATTTAGCAGCTCTGTGCATCGTCAGCTGTGCGTGGCCCATATTTGACTTTTACTTAACTCTGACAGACAGAGTCAAGATGTGCCGCTCAGCCGGGAAGAATGGTCCCGTCTTTAATGCCTGGATGTGAGGGGTATTTGATGTGTTTAACTGTATAAAGCAGCGAATGATATCTGTATACCAGGAAGTAAAAAAAGAACACCAGGGTGCAATTCACAGTTCAGGGGCAATTTTAATTTCTCTCTCATGTGTTTCTGGAGTATATACAGTACTTTTTAATGCAAGTCCAACTAATTGCTTAAACTGACACGCAAAACATTTCAAAGTTTTGTATGCAACACTGAATTTATGTGGTATTAGTCTTAAATTGGTTTAGAATAACAAAAAAAAAAAACATTAACATAATGCTTCTGTCCAAACTCTACAGTCTGACTGTGAGGAGAATCGTATTACACAGAGCAGGAATTAGTTGCTGGGTTATGTTTTACATTAAAATCAAAACAAACACAATCATTTATTGTATTATAATCAGAAAAAGTGCATCATTAAATAACATTTAATGATTCAAAACAGAAAGGTGGATTTAAACTTTGCCAAATTAAAAGTTTTAAGTGGATATCTATTCACTGATCCCTGCAGCTTTGCTGTGTGTGATGTTGTGTCTGGCTTGGCTCTTACATATTGGCTATGCTCCTGAGAGAGATTTTGTCCTCAATGCTATTACCTGATCATTTTTACATATAAGGGTCTGTCTCTTATGACCGATAATTATGTTTGTGTTATCAACCTCTTTTCCAGTGACTCACTGCTTCAGTGTTTTGGGGAAAAGTTTTCCAGTTCATCCCAGGTTGTCTGCCTGGGTCGCCACACAGGGAAAAAGCAGCGTAAGTATTGTGCTCAGGGTACGGTAAAGTACGTCACTGCTGGGCCACCAGAGCCTGGCTTGTTTATTTCCAGCCCTGATTTTGTCGGTTTCACTGGGGTATTGAATCCTGCAGATTTAATGAAAGCAGAGAGATGGAGCAGCACTGCCTGGACCAGGACTCAGACTGATGAACTTGCAGTCATGTGGCCTTTTATATCAGCAAAATGAGGCACCGAGCACCTCAGGACTAAGTACTTCCCTGATGATAAGACTGTTGAGGCTTAAGGCAATGACACACAGGGCAACATTATGGCAGGTTGGATGGAAATAAAGCACCTAGAGAGTTAGTTCCTTCAAATCATGTATGTGGCATCTTTTTTCAGGGGAGCAGAGCTGCTTAGTAAGAGAATCCTGTGTTTAAATTAAAGTGTCCTTGACCTGAATCTCTATTGGCTTCACTTCAGCTATTTTGTCCCTGACTCTGCATTGTGCATCATGTGGAGGGGAACAGTCACGCACGAGGAGCCTCCTGCCTCTGGGCCATAAAAATACAAACGTGCATGTCAATTTTCAAGCGAAAATTACTGATATGACACAAGATACATAAAAAGCATGAGAAACGTTGAGCATTTCTCTCTGGCTTATGGTGAATCTACTGACGCAACGAACTGCCAACCTCGCCATTTGTACCTGCACCGAGGGAAGTTCTGTTCCATCTGTTTGTTTGTCTGTTATTTGGCAGGATTACGCACTGATGACTACTGAGCGGATTACCACAAACCTTAGTGGAAGGATGCGGTATGGATCAGGGAAGAGCGCATTACATTTTGGTGTGGATCCGGATCAGGGGGCGGATCCAACATTTTTGTTCACTTTCTTTAACATGGTGAGATAGTTTTTCAACATTTTGGTTGATTTCTTGACATATTTTTGGGGAACTGATATCTATGAGTGTGTGATGTTTGCTGCAGCTATTAGACCATATGGTTGATTGATATAAGGGGACTGTTGGGCCTCGGCAGTTGCATGCACTCCACGATTAAATTTTTGCATGGGATTATAGCAGAGTTTGATTCAAGGGAGGAATTATCTTTATCTTTGGACTGGAACTGCTTTATGGCCATGTAAAACAGTTCCAGCTATCATATAGCAGAGAGGTTAGATTGAGATGTGTTCAGTAATTGAATGTGGTTCGCAAAGGATAACCCTCGATAAGAAATTAAATTAGGGTTTAAAATCACAACAAAGGTACAGCTACATCGCTTTTTTTCACTTTTCAGCACATTGTGAATGTTAACTATCTCCATCATATTGAAGGCTAGTATCACCAAATTCAATCCACTTCTACTCTTTTCGGATTTCCAAAAGTTATTGTTTCTCCAGAATTACTGGGCTGTCATTCCTGTAAAACACCAAGCAGATGTTAGTTCATCGCTGTTGATTTATGTCTGGAAAAATGCCTGGAGCTGACCACAGGTGGCTGAAGCAATATCAATCTTACAGGTAAACATGAATGCACAGGCGCACGTACACACACCCCCACCTACACGGTGTTCGTCTTATCAAGTCTCAGTGGGGTGTCTGAACTAAAAAAGTAGCTGATGACAAAAAACTCAGTGTATGTGTGTATGTGTGTGTGTGTGTGTGTGTGTGTGTGTGTGTGTGTGTGGTCTCCTTCTGTTTAATTAAACATGGATCTGTCCAGGGGAAGTGGATACAGACAGATGGCACATAAAAAACAAACTCTATCACACTTTTTACTTTTTACAGAGGGGAGGGGGTCCTCGATGAAATTGAAAGAACATATTCCCATCACCCTTGATCTCTAAGTGTGAAAGACGAATATATTTGTCGCTATTTTCATTGGATGTTATTTCGATTTTTAAAGTTCCCTGTGCCGAACTCTTAAGCTGCGGCTCTTTAGTGGCTTTAAGTGCATTGAGGCAGTTGTTATACATTAACAGCTGTGCGATTAAGCACCTTATCAGAGCTGTAAATGAAAGGCGGCAAATGTTTATTTTATCTGAGTAAATGTGCAGCTATAATACAAGTTAGCTGAGCTGTCTGAGTAAAGTCTTCACGGGGAAAGACAAGGTGTCTGTGAAACCTGCATGTAATTACAGCGCTTGTGCCTCAGATGGCCCCAATTAAGTCCATGTCACAAATTTGGACGACAAGAAGCAGAAGAGTAAACAAAACAAAGTAAAAATCCAAGACTAATGGTGAAGAGACGAGTGTAAAAAAGATTAAGCGGGTGAAACTGACAATGACAGTGGCGCTCTTGTGACCTTTCCCAGTGACCCGTCTCAGCTCTCACCAGTATGTCCACCTCCATGTCTGTAATCATGTCCCTTCCCCTGACACGATAAGAACCATCTCTAACATCGTCCGCTCACTCAGCCGTAACATCTCCAAACTGAGGATGAAAAAAAAATACCCACAATGACTGACAGTCAGAGGCGAGCTTTCTCTTTTAGAAAGCGACGAGATTCCCTTGTGCTCGCAATCAGTTTCCTTTTGTGAACTGAGCTCCTCCAGGAATGCCGCTGCATTCCCAGGATGCTTCAGTGAGGATAATGGTTGCCATGCAATGACAGGAGTAAGACAGCTGTCATCTGGCGGGGATGTGCGTGTGTGAGAGAGAGAGTATGTAGGGAGGTACAAATAGCAGGATATGGTGTGACTAAATTGCTTCTTAATAGAAGGTCAATCTTTTAATTTAGTCATTCTGCACTAACAAATATGTCATGGACAATTATCAGATATTATGATGTATATACTCTTGAGCATGAAAGGCTTGTGGGATGTTATATTTAGCTTTATAATGGGCCATTACACAATATGTAGGATTAGCTTTTTAGCTATGATTTGGTTGTTGAATCCTTTTTTCCAGATTTTGTTTTTCAAGCAAAATCACTTTAACTTCACTACACGCCTGTTTCATTTAATTTTTTTAATTGGTTCTCGTCTTGGATTTTCTGTATTATTATTATTCTTATTATGAGCAATATTTATATGGTATGCAAAGGTAAAATTCAAAAATTGCCAAAGTAGCCCAGGACTCCTATGGGTTAAAACTTAAATCTGAATCTTAGAGTGATGTTTAACATTCAGCTGAGCTTTGTCTTTACAGTAAACCATCGAAAACTCTGATTATATGTCAGAATGGTGAAGAAGTAACATAAATGAGGGGTATCAAGGGTATAGATGTATTCACAAGCCCCTGACCCATATTCTTTAATCCATTTCCAAGAGGGACACAAGAAGCTGCCGCTATCATGTACATTCCCTTTTATTTTTTGTACCAGGCCTGTGGATAAGGGAGTGTGAGAATGTGTGTGTGTGTTTGTGTGCACCAGATATAACACGAGCATCACATCATTCTGTCAACAAGGCGAACGCTTGTATTTCAACACTTCCTTGCATCATCCGTGCTTTGGAAAAAGCTTTGTGGCAGAAAATAAGCTCATTCATATGTGGGGTGATTATTGTATGTGTGTATGGCAGTAAATAGGTCTCGGTAATAAATCTGATGGCTGCTGCCACCGTATAAATATAGCCTGGGGATTTAGTCATGTTAGATGTTCCAGTTTCATCACGACTGACTGTTGTATTGCATCAAATGACTTCCCTAACAATGAATGGACTGAGAGAAAGACGTAGAGAGAGATGGAGCTGTTGTTTGGAGCCACATACCTGACCACACCCAGGACAGTCGTTGCCGTTCTCACAGGTTCTGCGTCGTGACTGGATGCCTCCGCCACAAGGCACAGTGCAGCGTTCCCATGCCGACCATGCCGACCAGTAGACATGAGGCGGGCAGGGCAGGTGTTCATTACAGTACCTGGGAAGAAGTTGGAACAGACACGAGGGATGAGCATGTGACTTTATTTGTTTAGATCCTCTCATTGTGATCAAGAAAACAAAGACCTGAGAACCAGAAAATCACAAAACCAGCAGATAAGGTAATAAAATAGAAAAGTCAGAGAGCCAAAAATCTAGTATAAACAAATAATTAAAAATTCTTATTACGTAAGGAAGAGTTGGTCTGATGTTCCATGCTTACATAACTGATCCCACATTCCATTCAAGTAGTTAAAATGGTTGTGGATGGAGCATGTGCAGCCGACACGTACAGTCAGCACGGTCACAAATCGTGGGCTGCACACCGGCCTCCGAATACTGGCTGATGTGGAAACTAGGAATTTGCCTTTATTCCAATTGAATGGTTAGTTGTTTTTATGTTTATGGGAAAATAAAAGAAATATTTGAATATTTGAGTCAGTTGGTGGCTGAAGTTTCATATTTACTTTTCAGACATGAGAATGGTAACAATCTTCTGAACAACGGCAGAAAGCACAAAGTAATTTCCCAAAGTGTTGACCCTTTTCTTTTAAGTGACATGAAGGAACTTCTGCTTGCAACAGCAATCTCTACAGCAACATGTGGTGATTCAGTCTGTTGGGCTCTGAGTTCAGTTGCTTTTCATGTAAGAAAACAAGCTACATGTGTAGTTACACCCACTGGACTGAAACATGGCCATATGGTTTATATTCCTCTTGATGCCAGGCTTCCAGAACCAGAAGAGCTGTCTGTTTCTAACACGCCTGGGGCCGCCCACTCAACCAGGTGAGGGTGCCCTGAGTGTGGTACGGAGGATTGAGTCCTGCTGCAGCAGTGGCAGGTTTGGTTACAGCCTGGCCCTTTGCTACATGTCTTCCCCACTCCTTCTCTGTCTTTCACACTTTTAAACTTTGTCATTAAAGAGTTTCCTCGCTGAATATCAGAGATAAAGTCTCTCCAATTTGAATGACTTCTAAGTTTCTTCACTGATCTACAGTTCAACAGTACGTCTGAGCTTCTGGGTTTTCTGTCTCTATCATTTAGTCAGGATCTTCTCAGGAGAGATCACACCCACTCACCAAAGATACATGATGCAAGAACAAACATTCAGGGCGCTGAGTGGGAATTAAAGAGACACCGTTCTCCCTTTATCGAGTCATCGCACCATCAAATAATTCCGCATTTAAACTTGCATTAGCTGACTTTCAGGGAAATGGGATACCTCTTCATCTGACTGAATAATCAAATCACACATCATGTGAAGGGCACTGACGATGTCACCACACTTATGAAACCTTGCAACTGAACCGAAATAGCTACAAAGAGTCTATACCGCAAGACAAGGTCGTCTGTAAAAACCGTGTAAACTTCACTTGAAACTAACTTTTACAAACCCAGCACGTCTTTGAAGTGGCCGTGGAGTGCAGGGAACACGGTGCACTGATCGAGCCTGAACATCTTCTAGAATCATGCCACCCGAGACTGTGTGGTGTCTGTGGTGCGTGTGTGCACGTGGCGTAATGGTCAATGTTGCATAAAAGTACATCAAATAAAAGTCCACCTCAAACCGTAATGAACATACATATGCACTTTGCATAATTTATTGACACAGCCTATTTAAAAAGCCCCAAAGATGCATGCATCATCTCTAATTACATCGTTTTACAAGACAGGATTATAGCGATGTCTAAAATACTTAATTACTTAGTCCTCATTATAAAATAACGATAGACGATTGCCAGCCTTATTAGAGCCATATAATTTATTTTATAACTTTAACACACGCTATAAAATTGCTTTTATTGCTATTTTGTTGTGTTTTGGAACATGACTTTTGAGGAAAACCTTGTGCTTAAATAGCTTTAATGTTAAACCCTTCCTCAGGAGGCTCAGGCTGGATATTTCCATTGTGCTTTTCCCAAATGCTCTGCTATTGTTCATGGTAAATCAAAAGCTTCATTTTGTATACCCTGCTAGTAAAAGTCCTTAGAGGAGTACGCTCTTTACCACTTTTACTAATCCTTGGGCATGTAGTGAGATGATGCTGTGGGGAGGAGAAGTGAGGAAGAGTGTGGATTACGATCAGGCCTGAGAGAAAGAAATGAAAAATGCACTTACACAGAAATCCATGCATATGGGGTTGTACGCACACACACAACGTACCACTGCTGCACCACAGCACAGTACAAAAAACTGCTGCGATCAATATGAAGCAGATTAGAGCTTCGGAATCATCATCGTACACAGTGTAATCATTTCAGACAAGACGGCAGCTTTGCTCCATCTTATCTTATCCCCTTTTCTCTTTCTCATGAAATACACAGAGCTGATTGGACTTAAGAAACGCTGCTAATTACTCACTATAGGCTGAGTAAGCAGTGCGGCCCATGTCAGAGTGCCGGGAGAAATACCAACAGAAGGTTTATAAATGCAGGCATTAAGCAGCCAGATTTGAGCCTGTAGCACTGCTGTGCACGGCCAGTCTCAGAACATTTGCTTCATCTTTAAAAGGCCTGCCTGCTGAAAACAATCAGGGGCCGAGCTCACAGGAAGGCTGTTGGCCGAAAGAGAGGGGACGAGAGGTGAGAGCAGAGGTTTGGTTTGGTCTCATGGTCTTTTTATTTTGCGTATCTGATCATAAGAGCTCACACCATACTGCACGCATGTTTAAACAGAAGGCCTGAATAGGTGACTTGAGGCAACATGGGAAGTGTAGAGTAAGACTTACTGCAGACACCACTAAGAGGACGACTGTGCTCCATAAAATAAAAGCCTGTTGTGGTATTAAATAATTATTCAGTGTGCAAAAGCTGAAAAATAATCGGGCTGTGTACTTTCAGTTTTTTCAATTTGAACCACAAAACAAAAAACGATTTTCATTTCCAGAAAATACATTTTTTTCCACATTTTTTTGGTTTTTGGCTTTAAATGGTAATAAAACAAACTCCCTGAAAGAACCCAGGCCCCTTTTTCATGCCATGTGGATAAAAGTCTGCACAGAAGACATTTCACACATGATCAACTATAAACAACAGATGTAGTGGAATTCTTTGGACACCGCTACACAGGCCAAACATCCAGTGAGAGGTTTGCCCTATTTCTTTTCATTGGGATATACATTTCTGAAACATCTGGATTTGCTCATATGGAACACACAGTCCAAAAGAAATCTAGCATCTTATTACCTGTCACCCCCTGAGGCAGACGCAAACTGACGCAGCAAAATTCATCTGTTAACACACCTTTTCTCTCTATCTCTATGTCTGCTCATTTGTTGGACTCACACACACACACACACACACACACACACACACACACACACACACACACACACACAC